TGTGCAAAAAATATAGCTTATATTTATTTATTTATAAATAATAAATGGGTTTTAAACCCTTTAGCAAAATAATATAATTGTGAGTACAGTTTTAGCTATATTATAATATATGGATAACAATTAATAAAAGTATGAATTGGTAAGTATGGTTATATTAGTTTTAAGACTACGATGAAGACCTTAGTTACCAATTATACATTAATGTTGTAGGGCCAGAAGGACTTTTTTTACTACAGTCATTATATTTTCATTTTCTAAGTTATGCTAAACAACAACTGTTTCCAACATTTAAGTACAAATAAACGCATCTATACATTAATTTCCCCACGTAGCTTATTAGTTTTTGTTCAATGATATCCATTATCCACTAATGATTGAGTTGTACGGATATTAGTGCTAACTATGTACCTACTGTATACAAAATAATTTTAGCAACTGTGCAGATATTATAATTTCATACTCCCCGCGACCCAGCTCGGTAATTATTAATGTGTACACTTGTGGTTAACATTAAAAACCAAAGTTATAACAGTAACAGTCATAATAATAAGAGACAAATAAATACTACCAATGTTTACCTATAACAAATCTATAAAGGAAATTTCTGAAACAATAAATTAAAATGAATAGGTACTTTTGGAATACTGAATAATCACTGTTAAAATAATCATCATTCTCTACTAAAGTAAAAAACTAACCCAATAAAATACTGTAATACTTACATTAATACTGAACGTTTTTGGACCACATTTGGAGACTTCTAAATAAACTCATAACTCAAGTACAAACTATAAATTCACTGTATGTCTGTATAATGTATACTACAAGCATTACACCAAAAAGATGGAATATTGGGGTACTTATCCCGAAATGAGACAAAGTACTTGGAAGAATAGTTCAGCTAATGTGCCATTATAAAAAACGAGATAATATGGAATATGAATAATATAATACATCCTTCAAATACAGATATATTTATTATTTAATATTTTCGTTATTTTGACCGGACTATCGTAAAATGTTTGGCATTTGGTGATAAAAATTGGCGGTAAAATACGTGATGTTAGTGATAACGTTTTTCCAAAGACGTTGTAATAACTCGATACCCAAACAAACATTTTACCATTTTACCCATAAGAAATATACAGGAAATAATTTGGAAATTAATGAATTAATTAAAATAAGTACATTATGCACTCAATTTTGAGTGCATATCGTTCACCGTAAAAAATGGAATTATAAAGTTATTCGATTCAAACTTAATTCTTTTGTAATTTTAAATTTACTAAAGAAATAAATTTGGCGGGAAAAAAGTTTAATTACAAATGTATACTATAACAATGTAAGATATAAATAAAACTTTGTTTTTTTTAAACATCCAATCCTTGGATAGGTACACATTATTATATGGCGGGTTAGATATTATCAACTATCGTGGTTTATAAATTGGTGTTTATCCTTTTTATTAGGTTTATACAGTAAAAATGTCATAACTGCATTCTGCGTCATATTATACTCCTTGTAGTTTTCGGAAATTATTAGGTATGGCCCAAAAAAGTGCTCTAAGTTGTTCAACTATATCGAATTATTTCAAAATAAATCAAAAACAGTTGAAAAGAGGTGAACTGTCATTTCTAGCAGGATACGTTTCAAAAATTAATTTTGATCCCGACGGACTTATTAAGGGTGATGTTAAAGCCAGTATGAAACAAACCACATATCATGTGCAGGTTATTTTATATTAATAAATTATAGGCATAATATATAGGTATTAAATTAGTTTAACTCTTATATTAATAAAGTTTAATATTTAATTTATAGCTCTAACAATATAGTGTTATACATATAGGCATATATTATAGTGTTTACAGTATATTTGATATTTTGATTTTAATATTGAAATTAATTTAGTATACAACAATTAATACCATAGTTTTTCTATATTTGAATTTTTTAATACATATTTTAAATTAAAATAAATATAATTTAGGTACCTGTGCATAGTTATTAGTTACTATAAATTATAAAATAAATTAGTTGAATGTTTATGATATTAAACACAATATAAAATACTTTTAGTTTTTAAGCTATGTGGGTACCTATTCCGTTCTAAATTCACTATTTTTTCGGTAGTCTTCAATGATGACATAATATCTGACTCTCTCTGTATATGTCCAAGAGGACAAGGCATTTGTCACCACATTGCTGCTGTATGTATTTTCGTCCATAACAATTTCAGCTCTACTGACTTGCCATGTAGGTACTTGGAATACTAGAAAACCAAATAATGATAATGAAGTTCAAAGCATTAAAGATATTTATCCATCAAAACCATATACAACAACTAATAGTATTCCAGATGATATTATAGACCGTTTCAAGCAAAGTTTAACATGTATTAGATTACCCGTAGGAGTAATGTGGTTATTAAAACCCGAACCTCGTATGCCACCACTAGGAGTCTGCTTGCTAATCTCAATTGAAGAAGTTTTATTTTCACAAGAATATATAACATCAAAAAATAAACAGCATTTTCTCACAGAAAAACTTTTAGTCACTAATGAAATGATTTTAAAAATTGCTCAAGAGACTGTAGGTCAAGCTAAAAACGATCTATGGTTTATTCATAAGAAACATAGACTAACAGCTAGCAATTTTGGAGATATAAATATATAATATCAGCTATGACGAAAAAAGTATACCAAAATCTCTTTTAAAATCATTGAACAATGAGTATGGAAGCATTAAACATGTCCGTGAAATAGAGTGGGGTCTGGCTAATGAATCAACAGCAATAAATATTTTACAAGAAACTGAAAATATTATAGTTCAACCAACTGGACTATGGTTACACCAGTGTGGATTTATTGGTGCGTCACCTGATGGTCTTATTGGTGAAGATGATATTGTTGAAGTGAAGTGTCCATATAAATATAGAAAATGTAAATTATCTGATGCAATAACTGAAGATCAATCATATATAATTTACAAAATTAATATTCATCAACAAGCATCATAATTACTGGCACCAAATACAAGGACAGCTATTTATGACCAAGAGAAGTAGATGCTTTTTGGTTGTGTGGACAACAGACGAAACTATCATAGTTCAAATCTGTAAAGATACAAATTGGTCAAACAACTTTAAAATTATTAAATCATTTTATTTAGAACATTATATTCCATACATTTTGGGGAAAAATGAATAGTTATTAAGTAAGAATATGTATACAGGTAATAGAAAAAACAAATATTTGTTTCATAATTATTAAAATATTAACAGTAACTAAATATAACACAGATTAATAAATAAGTTGTACTTCTGTACTTTACTTTTAATAATTATTATTATTGATTTACATTTTATCTTGAATTTCTTTGATCAAAGGAAATTTTAAATTAGTGAGAGCATAGGCGCAATTTGGGCTAAATTTATGGGGGTGCTAGATTTATGTGGACCAAAGTAACCCGTGGGGGGCGAAGCCCCCCACACCCCCCTCATAACACCATTCATGCATTCATAATACTACCTGATTAATCAATAATTATTAATATTTGAAAAATAAATATATAATACAGGTTAATACGTTTTTTATTTTCATTTAAATATTATACTAAAGAGACATAGCAAAATTATTTATTATTTTATCTTTATAAATTTTATTGCTTAGATCTCTCTCAATATTAATAACTGACAAATCTGTAAATTTTGACTGTTCCATGCTTGTCCTAAGCCAATTCTTTATTCGGCGCATAGATGAAAAAGACCTTTCACAAGTAGCTGAGCTTATAGGAATAGCTAATCCTACTTGAATAAGTTTAAACAAGTTTGGAAAAACATCTTCAGTCACCACTTTCTTTATTCCAAGTATATCAAAATTTTGTAAACAATTTTTTGTCAGCAACATTTCTGCTTTCAATGATGTTAAATCAATATTCACAACATCCTGAAATTATATTATCCTCACATGATTATTTTATTTAAAAAATTAACCTACATTACATTAATCACAACAATATAATATATACATGGTTGTTAGATACCTATTTATAATTATTATGAATTCAATTAATGAGTTATTATTATTTAGTTTATAAATAATTTACTAGTTACGAACCTTGTAATGATTGATGAAATATGAACCTTTTTCAAAATCCATTTTCATAAACTGGTCTAATGAGTTAGCTAAAACTAAACTTTCATCCGAAAAACGGTATTTTATATTATTATTTATTATTATTATTATTATTATTATTATTATTATTATTATTATTATTATTATTATATAAGTCAAATCTTAGAAATTAATTTATCCTGTTGTCTATGACATAATACGTGTATAACCAATTACAATTAAATGATGCTGTTGAAAATTTGGGGGTGCTAAGCACCCCCAAGCACCCCCCAAATTGCGCCTATGAGTGAGAGCAGAAACTACTTTAAAAATACAATCACATCACTGTGAGGCAATAATAATGTAGGAATATGATTTAAAATCCTATAACATTTAATCCTACGTATGGCACGTTCAACATGTATTCGAGCTCGAGCGATAGTTTCAGTTAAATAAATTTGTTCTTTAGTAAATTATGGTGTATCAAGAAATGGTGGTATATTTAGATGGACCCCAGTAGGCAAAATATCTCTAAATTCTAATCAAGAACCCTTTGTCGGCTAAAACCAAATCTCCTTCTTATATTTTTACACAGATATATATAATAAACTTATTATTATATATTATTTATTATATATATCTGTGTATTTTTATATATCTGTGATAAAATCCGAGTACGAATGACAATATTATTTTGTCGAGAAAGATGGAGAAGATACGTATTTTAAACGTATGTTGGCCACACTGAGTAGTTAATTTTGATAAAGGTCATTTCAATGAGATAAGACACATTTTAATTTTTCATTACATTTACCTCTTTTAGGGTTTTACTTGCATTGTATTCTAATTTATATTCAATAAGAAAGTTATTAATTTTTACCAAACATGCCTATTATGAAAGCTTTAGCTTCCAATGGTAAGTAATACATAATAATACTCCTTCATGTATTATAATAGTTGCTCATTATATTTTTCTATTTCTTAGTGGCTGTTCGCCGCTGGGCATATAATCTTTCTGGTTTCAATAAATTTGGTAAGTATTAAAATGTTGACAATAATTATATATATTATCTTTATAATCATATATATTAACTATCTTTTAATATAGGATTACATCATGATGATGTCCTTCAAGAAAATGATGATGTCAAGGAAGCATTAAGACGGTTACCAGCACACAAAGTAGATGAAAGGTCATTCAGAATAATTAGAGCAATGCAACTATCTTTACAAAAAATTGAACTACCTAAAGAACAATGGACGAAGTTTGAAGAAGTAATATTTAAATACATAAATAATTATTAATACTATACTAATATATCTTCAAATTTTTATTGCACTAGGATGACCGTTATTTGAAACCTTACCTTGAAGAAGTCATCAAAGAAAGAGAAGAGAAAGAATACTGGGAAAAAAATTACTATTAGATTTCAATATACTGTATTCAAAATAAAAATATCCCATAGTCACAAGTAAATTCTTACAGCAAATATTTCAATTATTACTATCATTTTGAGTATGTTTTAAAAACTTGTATTATTAAACGCAATATAATTTTAGTTTTCTGTCAAGAAGAATAAAATGAGTTATATCTTACTCCTTATACCTAAGTATCATATGAATCTCAGCAAATAAATAAAAACTTACAAAAAACATAACAAATTATAACATAACATTATAAAGATATGTTTTATTTTTCAAGGCAGTTTCACCCCGGAATATAAGAATCACAGAACCAACGACTGAATGATTTTATTTTTAGTCTGTAACATACTATAATGAAAAAAATAATAATAGAATTTTAAATTCAAATTAAATTATTCATATGCATTACTATTTTTTTTAATTCTGCAAGGAGCGATAAATGTATTGATTTTACAATGATGGTTAGGATAGGTTTTTTTAGATTCTGAGTGAAACGATGAATGTATTGATTTTACAATAATGTGTGTTTTTTTTTTGTTTCATCACCTTTTAGGACAGTAAAAGTGCTTGGATTTTCTTCAACAGTATCTTTTCTGAGAGCAAAGTGAATCTAGTTGGTACTTTGGGGGGTCAAAAGTAAAAATTTCCCAGTAGTTTTCAAAAGTGAAGTAAAAATACGAAGAAAAATTAAGGAAAAACAGGAATTTTTAAAATCTGTTTTTGAGAAAATAGATTTTGGTTTTTGGTGCAACTCTAAAACAAATGACCGTTGATACATGCAATTTTTACGAACTGTTTATATTAACATTTTATATACACCATGCCTTTTTAAAAATATTTTGAGCTGTTAAGGGATATTTTCAGTTTCCAATGTTTTTAGTTTTTTATTCTATAAATATCAATGCAATATTATTTGTTGGGTACAAAAGCTTGAAAATTTAATAGAAGGCTCCTACTATATTGTTACAATAGTAGTTCAAAAAGGTTAAAAATCCTAAGTCACAGTTTTTTTTATAAGCATTTAAAGTCCAAATATTGGTAAAATACAGAAAAATCACGAAAATTAGTGAATTATTTTGAGTTGAGAATTCATAAGAATTTTTATTTTTAAATCTACGATTTGAAAATGTAATACATGATTACTCATAAGTTTATTTACCTTTGTCAAAATAAAGAATGTCTACAACATAGGCGCAATTTGGGCTAAATTTATGGGGGTGCTAGATTTATGTGGACCAAAGTAACCCGTGGGGGGCGAAGCCCCCCACACCCCCCTCATAACACCATTCATGCATTCATAATACTACCTGATTAATCAATAATTATTAATATTTGAAAAATAAATATATAATACAGGTTAATACGTTTTTTATTTTCATTTAAATATTATACTAAAGAGACATAGCAAAATTATTTATTATTTTATCTTTATAAATTTTATTGCTTAGATCTCTCTCAATATTAATAACTGACAAATCTGTAAATTTTGACTGTTCCATGCTTGTCCTAAGCCAATTCTTTATTCGGCGCATAGATGAAAAAGACCTTTCACAAGTAGCTGAGCTTATAGGAATAGCTAATCCTACTTGAATAAGTTTAAACAAGTTTGGAAAAACATCTTCAGTCACCACTTTCTTTATTCCAAGTATATCAAAATTTTGTAAACAATTTTTTGTCAGCAACATTTCTGCTTTCAATGATGTTAAATCAATATTCACAACATCCTGAAATTATATTATCCTCACATGATTATTTTATTTAAAAAATTAACCTACATTACATTAATCACAACAATATAATATATACATGGTTGTTAGATACCTATTTATAATTATTATGAATTCAATTAATGAGTTATTATTATTTAGTTTATAAATAATTTACTAGTTACGAACCTTGTAATGATTGATGAAATATGAACCTTTTTCAAAATCCATTTTCATAAACTGGTCTAATGAGTTAGCTAAAACTAAACTTTCATCCGAAAAACGGTATTTTATATTATTATTTATTATTATTATTATTATTATTATTATTATTATTATTATTATTATTATTATTATTATATAAGTCAAATCTTAGAAATTAATTTATCCTGTTGTCTATGACATAATACGTGTATAACCAATTACAATTAAATGATGCTGTTGAAAATTTGGGGGTGCTAAGCACCCCCAAGCACCCCCCAAATTGCGCCTATGAACTGGTTGAAACCATAAATTATTTTGCAAGCAAATTTCGATAGTTTTTAAAAATAATGTACTGTATGTATGGCTATTTTTGTCAGAAAGCAAAGCAAAGACTAATGGTAGGTATATAATTTTGATTCTTAAAACCATGAATACTGAATAACTGCAAAAAATATTTTGTACAATAATTGAAAGTAGGTACCGTCTAAACAATTTTTTTCGTTAGAACAAAGAAATTTTAAATTTTCTATACAAGAAAATATAATAATATGGCTATCTTGATCATTTAATAAAACAAATTGTTCAGAACGGTTTGTTTGTATATCTATTACATTTAAAGTAGGTATCGTGAACTTCTTCAATACCTACTTTTAGGCAAAGGTGGAAAAATAGATTTACGTGCATTATACACATTTCGTCTAATATAATTGAGATCAGTTGTATTTAAATTATTTTCGTTATTAAAATTTTTGATTTCATTTAAAATAAACTTGGAAGGTTTTTCTACAATATTGTCTTCACTTACTTTTTTTTTCAGTGAATTATTGACTTCATGGCGATTTAATGTAGATAGTATCTTCATCATGATTGTGAATTAGAACTACATGTTTTTCAATAATTTCATCCTCTGTATTATTTGTGTAAATTTTACTTTGACACTTATTATTAATACAACGCCAAGTTTTTTGGCTACTTTTTACAGTATAGTGTAAAAAAAATTTATATTTATCAACTATTAATAACTTTTTACCATTCTGACTATACATGAATTCCATTCCAATTTGTAATAATGTACGACTACCTATAAGAGTGACTAACTTAACTGCACAAAACGGTGAAAGACTCAAAAGATTCACTAGACTAAACTCAAACAATACACAGTTACCATTTACCAATACAGTTACGAGCGGACTACGATATCGGCAATAAATGCCGATTTGTTCGGAAATTTCCGATACAGACGAGATTATCATGTTTTATCGTTATTCTACAATATTCGATGCCATATCGTTGATCTATTAAAAACATTTTGTACTGCAAGTGCCGATATGAACGTATCTGTAAATGTCCGTAAACAGCTCAAAAAGATTAAAAATATTTTCAAAATTATTTTGATGTATAGAAAATGAATATTTAAACATTCAGTAAAATGTTCATGTATCTACAGTTATTCGTTGTTGAATAACAATAAAATAACAAAAACGCTACATGAAAAATCGAATGAATATCAAATCTTATAAAAATATGAACTTCAAAGGCTTATAAAAATTTAATTTGATTTGATTGTGGACCATAGGCGCAATTTGGGGGGTGCTTGGGGGTGCTTAGCACCCCCAAATTTTCAACAGCATCATTTAATTGTAATTGGTTATACACGTATTATGTCATAGACAACAGGATAAATTAATTTCTAAGATTTGACTTATATAATAATAATAATAATAATAATAATAATAATAATAATAATAATAATAATAATAATAAATAATAATATAAAATACCGTTTTTCGGATGAAAGTTTAGTTTTAGCTAACTCATTAGACCAGTTTATGAAAATGGATTTTGAAAAAGGTTCATATTTCATCAATCATTACAAGGTTCGTAACTAGTAAATTATTTATAAACTAAATAATAATAACTCATTAATTGAATTCATAATAATTATAAATAGGTATCTAACAACCATGTATATATTATATTGTTGTGATTAATGTAATGTAGGTTAATTTTTTAAATAAAATAATCATGTGAGGATAATATAATTTCAGGATGTTGTGAATATTGATTTAACATCATTGAAAGCAGAAATGTTGCTGACAAAAAATTGTTTACAAAATTTTGATATACTTGGAATAAAGAAAGTGGTGACTGAAGATGTTTTTCCAAACTTGTTTAAACTTATTCAAGTAGGATTAGCTATTCCTATAAGCTCAGCTACTTGTGAAAGGTCTTTTTCATCTATGCGCCGAATAAAGAATTGGCTTAGGACAAGCATGGAACAGTCAAAATTTACAGATTTGTCAGTTATTAATATTGAGAGAGATCTAAGCAATAAAATTTATAAAGATAAAATAATAAATAATTTTGCTATGTCTCTTTAGTATAATATTTAAATGAAAATAAAAAACGTATTAACCTGTATTATATATTTATTTTTCAAATATTAATAATTATTGATTAATCAGGTAGTATTATGAATGCATGAATGGTGTTATGAGGGGGGTGTGGGGGGCTTCGCCCCCCACGGGTTACTTTGGTCCACATAAATCTAGCACCCCCATAAATTTAGCCCAAATTGCGCCTATGAACCAGTTACAGTTGTGGTGGACTTTGAAATTGCTATTCATAATGCAATTAAAAATATTTGGCCAACAGTGCAAATTCATGGTTGTAATTTTCATTTATGCCAAAATTGGTACAGAAAAATCCAGCAATTAGGCCTGTCGAATGATTACAATCATGGTGAATCTGAAATTGGAAAATTTTTAGTTCTCACATTCGGTTTACCATTATTGCAAGATGTTAACGATATTGAAGATATGAAGATTGCTTTGTATTTGATTTGTTAGAAAATATGCCATCTGACGATAAAGTCCAACAATATTGGGACTATTTATCTGAAAATTATATTTTTTCGTTTTCATTATTTCCTCCAAAATTGTGGTCTTCTAATGATACTACAAATGCATGTGAATCATTTCATTCAAGATTTAATAACAGTAGTTTTTATCATCATCATCCAAATCTCCATTTATTCGTGAAAGTTTTGAAAGATATTCAGACCGAAACATACATTAAAATTAGAAGCAGTCATACAGCACAACGCAGACAGACAAAAACTATTTCTAAATATCAATTTATACTTAATCAAAAAGATAAATATATACAAGGAGAAATTTCACGTTTAGAGTTTATCTCCAAAGTATGCCATAAAAATATACGTAAATGATTATGACTTAGTATTGTTTTATTGAATTTTGCCTTTGAAACAAGGAGCCTTCTATTACATTTTCAAGCTTTCGCAACCAACAAATAAAATTGAATTGATATTTTTAGAAAAAAAATTTTAAAAAAAAATGGAAAATTAAAATGTCCCCAAACAAGTCAAAAAAAATCAAAATATTTTGAAAATGTCATCGTGTATAGAAAATGCAAATATAAACAACCAGTGAAAATTTCATGTATATACGTTAATTTATTTTAGAGTTACACCAAAAACCAAAATCGATTTTTTGGAAAACCGATTTTGCGTAAAAATTCCCGTTTTTTCTTAATTTGTATGTTGTTTTTCCCGGCGCTTGTGAAAACTATTGGGAAATTTTTATTTTGACCCCCAAAGTACCAATTAGATTCACTTTCCTATCAGAAAAGATACTGTTTAAGAAAATCCAAGCATTTTTACTGTCCTAAAACGTGATGACAGACACAAAAATAAAAATAAATTTAAAAATTTAAAAAAAAAACACACATCATTGTAAAATCAATACATTCATTGTTCCACTCAGAATCTAAAATCACAAAAATATGCAAATTATTTTGAGTTATAAATTAGATTTATAATTTAAAATTTAGATTCTGAGCAACTCTTTGGTGCAACTCTTAAACAAATGACCGTAGGTACATGAAATTTTGACTGAATTTTTAAAATTAGCATTTTCTATACACGATAACATTTTCAGAAATTTTTGATTTATTTTGAACTGTTTAGGCACATTTTCATTTTTCATTATTTTTTAGTTTTTTTTCTAAAAATATCAATAAAATTGTATTTGTTGGTTAAAAAAGCTTGACAATTTAATACAAAGCTAGGCTCCTACTATATTGTTACAATGGCATTTGAAAAATATTTTAAATCTTTAGTCACAGTTTTAGATTCTGAGTGAAACGATGAATGTATTGATTTTACAATGATGTGTGTTTATTTATTTTTTTATTTTTATTTTTTTTGTGTCTGTGTACACGATAAGTAGTCGAAATAATGCTTCGATTTTCGACTTCAGTATCTTGTTCGATTGGAAAGTGAATATCGTTGGTGCATTGGGAAGGTCAAAATTTAAAATTCCCAGTACTTTTCAAAAGCGCCAAGAAAAACAAAAGAAAAATTAAGGAAAAACGGGAATTTTTACTCAAAATCGATTTTTCAGAAAATTGAATTTGGTTTTTGGTGTAACTTTAAAACAAATGACCGTAATACATGAAATTTTCACTGGTTGTTTATATTTGCATTTTCTATACACGATAACATTTTCAAAATATTTTGATTTATTTTGAACTGTTTAGGGACATTTTCGTTTTTCATTTTTTTTTAGTTTATTTTCTAGAAATATCGATAAAATTTTATTTGTTGGTTAAAAAAACTTGAAAATTTAATAGAAGGCTCCTATTATATTGTTTCAAAGGCAGATGAAAAATATTAAAAATCGTAAGTCACAGTTTTTTTTTCAAAAAAAAAAAAAAATGTCTAAGAAAGTAAAATTAAATTTTTATGAGCGTTTAAATTTCATATTTTTACAATATTGGATATTCACTCGATTTCTCATGTAGCGATTTCCTTATTTTCTTGTAATTCAAAAAAGAATAACTGTAGACACATTTGAAATTTATATCATATGTTTATTTTATCCATTCCTATATACTCCATACAATTTTAAAAATATTTTGACTCTTTTTGAGCTGTTTACGGACATTTACAGCTTTCAATTTTTTTTAGTTTTTTTTTCTATAAATATCAATCAAGTTTTATCTGTTGGGCCAAAAAGTGTAAAAATGTAATACAAGGCTCCTGATATATTTTTACAAAATCAGTTGAAAAATATTAAAAATACATAGGCACAATTTTTTTTTATAAGCATTTAAAGATCGAATTTTGACAAAATTTATCAAATTTAAAATTGAATAATTATTTTGTAGTTAAAAATGTATAAAATGTTCAACTTTAATATCCAAGGATTGAACATTTATAACAAGATTCCACGTGAGTAGTTAATTTTGTTACCAAAAAATCTAAAAAATACATAAGCACAGTTTATGTTTATAGTCATTTTTTTGTCAAAAAAACAAAAATAATAGTCAATGTAAATAATATATGTAAAAACACAGAAAACAGATTTTAAATGATATTATTTAATGATATATATTATTTACATTGACTATTTTTTTTGGTTTTTTTTAAAGTATGTTTTACACTAATCTATATTTGCCATAACTTCGACGAATTATTGAATTTTTAATATTATACTATTTTTTTTCATATGTTTTACACTTATACATATCATTTAAAATCTTTAAAATTTTATCTTTATTATTATGCTATTTTTTAGAAACTTGTAAGTTGGTACTATCGAGATACTATCGAAAAAATAATCGATTTTAATTTTGGTGCATATTACAATTCCTATTTCTTACTACCTGAGGATGGTGCAAATTACATATCCTTATTTTGGTGCAAATTACAAACGCATTTAAAAAAAAATGGTGCAAATTGACTACAGCCAATTCTAGGTTGTACCTAAAAATAATGATTCCATTTCATTAAAACATTGAACGATTTTTTTCTGGGTGTATGGTCATTGTATGTTCAACCTATCAATTTATTGTATGTTATACTATTTAATACTCTTAACTATGTTTTTTTAAGTCTATCATTATACCTATAATATATTTTACTATTTTTGTACATATACATTTTTTTCCATGTACCTACCTATATAATAATTTGTTATCATAACGCTGTATTATTATTATTATAAAGGTACAAAATATTATATCAAAGTACAGGTGTTTTTTTTCACAGATAATAAAGTAATGAACAAACACGTGGTATATTATACAGGGTTATTATTAAAAATTATTATATATACTCTATTTCACGAGAGAACGGTACCGTTTCGCGCATGTAAAATGATTCGATTGGTGCGTGAACGACCACGTGATCACGCTTACCACTGATAGTTGGTGGGGGATGCGCGGCGGCGGACCCGTTTTGGTCGGCCGCCGCTACCTTTCTCTCGTGAAAAAGAGTATAGGTACAAAATATTAAATATAAATCTGTTGGACAAGTAATATAACTAACATAATATCTTAAAACTATACTATTTCCGTCCGCACCAAATTTAATCCACTGTACGCGCGGCACACCAACAGCACAACCTTCGGCCAGTCTTAAGAAGCCTCCTTCTAAGAGCCGCAAACCTGCGCATAGTGCATTCACCGACCCTCCTTCTGGCCAGTCCCCGCCATCGTCATCGGCTGACAAGGCCACCGGTCGTACTGACCTTCCTTCAACGACGTTGACGATTTCTATTGACTGTGGTGGCAATATCCTCGTCACCGGGACAAGCCCCAGAGCAGCTATCTGGCCGGTCGTTATGACGATCGGTCGTGGTAAAGTGACAGCGAACACGAAGTTCAGCGACCGCCGCCACTCGCAGGGCTTCGGTTAAAGCGTTCCAGAGGAATACTCTACCATAATGCTTTACCACGTTCTTGCTTTTACGTGGTACTAGCTGCATTCCAGGGTCGATAGTAGGCTTACACGTCAGGACTTGCATGCAAACTTCCCTGCTAACAGACAAATTGACAACATTCAATAATACACTTAACGATTTGACAACAGGTAATATTTGTAAGATTGTTAGTACCTATCAAAATATACATTGCACCTATTTTAATATTAAATGATAGTTTATTTAAAATCTCACTAACTAAAGAACAGATAAAATCAGAAATTGCTTATACTTGAAAAAATCTAGAAAGTATGTATTTAATAATTAATTTCCAATAGGTAGGTACTATTATACCAATATTTAATAAGCATTGTATTATTATAATATTCCATAGAAAAAAAAATGATGAATTCACTAATAGACTTAATATATGATTCCTATCTATACACATTCTACATTATTTAGTACCTACCTACAAATATCAGGGTAGCCAATCATTAGGCAATATCATACTTTAATATTGCTTTTGTTAATATTTATTTGTGTGTTATATTAATTATAAAATGGAAAAATGTTTTATAACAAATAATTAATTTTTCAGATTCAAAAGTATTGGTTATTATGTATTTATTACACTGTGTATTCATTCCTTCATCGAAAAAATCTACTCGTGATGAAAATGGTAGAAAAGGATTTACTAAATACAGTATACGAGATTCACAAAACTCATTTATCGTTGTGACACCAACTTCTGTGGACATGGAATCTACACTCAAGCCCGGATTAAGACCTTCAGATACACAGTTGTGCCCCCCCCCCACATCAATAAAAACAATTCTTTAAAATTAAAAAATTAGGTATACAATAAAACAAATGTAAACCTTTTTATTTAAATATGATAATAATAATAATAAATGATAATATATGATAATAAATGAGAATACAAAAATGAAATACATAATTTTTTTTTAGTACATATTTACAAATAAAATTAAGTATTGTTTAAGTAAAAGTTTTTTTTCTAGCTTTTTGAGTATATTTCTAATGTTTTATCGAAGCTTAAATTTTGAAGAACATCATTTTCTGTTGATAAAATCATTAATGATGACAAATTATCTTGTGTTTGAGAAGATCTATTTTTATTTTTAATTCTGGTCAACTTCGAAAATGCTCTCTCAGCAGTACAATTAGCAACAGGAATGGTAAGATATATTCTTAAAGCAATGTGAACGTTAGGGAAAATATTAATAACATTACATTCAGTCATCCGTTCAATGTTCAAATATCTTGAGTACACCACTTTCATCAAATGTTGGTTTTAACTTTTAACTGATCCCAAAACTGCTTGAAATGTACTATTTCATACTTTATTGAATCATCAACATCATCTTTATATACACTAATGAATTTGTTAACACTTTTCTCAACATCAATATAGTAGACTCAACATGTAGTCTAGTTAAGAATAAAACATTTTCAACCACTACACTATATATGCATTTATTCTTTTGTCCAGTTCTGAGCAAAAAACAAAAAACATTTTTTAAACTTTTCAACAAATTCACAGCTTTTAAAATATCATTGCTTTTGCTTTGAAAATCAATAGATACTTTATTACAATGTTGTAATATGTCATTCCAAAATAGACAAATGGTATACCTAATAGTTAACACTAGTTAATTAAATATATTTTTTATATAATACCTTTCTTAGAACCAGCTGAAGAATTAACACAAAATGTATCGATTTTTGGTAGCTTTTGTATTTTGTGTTGATTTTTTTTTTTGGCTACCACTTAAATATTTTGTACTTGCAGCTGACATAATGTAAACGCCAATTACGTATTAATAAAAATAATTCAAAACGAACTATAAAACATTAAACATTAACCGTTCGTCTTTACGACTACACATCAACAATAACATTACATACGAAAGAAATAATACCTATAATGTAATGAGTAATGACTAATGACTAATAAACTATGAAGATAGTAGACCGTTTAGTCGGTAGGTATCTGAATTCTGAGTACGTCATGAACAAATTTCCCCTATTCTATTTTTAAATACAGTGATAACAAAATATATGCCTATTCCTTATACGCACAAGCCTGGCTATGACGCTATGTATCCCCACTTACCATGCTATAGGTCAGGGATGGCGAACCTTTTTGTACCAGAGTGTCAAATAAAAATGTTGGTTGGATTTTGTTTTCCTTGCGTGTCAACTAGTTTGATAACCCTTCTTTAAACTTAAAAATTTCTACATCTATGGTTTGAATGATAAAAACACAAGTCAAATATTATATTATCAAACAATTTAAATATAACCTTTGAATTACTATAAAAATAACACTCACCAATAATGAAAACTGCACAAATTTGCACAAACACATGAAACACATTCGAATCGACCAATGAGTAATGACTAACGCTAGCCGTGGGCCAGCTACACTCTATATCCGTTATATAAAATATATTATAAACCTAATAAAGTTCTTATAGAAAAGTAATAAAATTAATAGTTGTTTAGCAGTGTAGATATTCAATTCAATGCGTTTAGGTATAATACCATAAACTTAATATTTCATTTTTGTAATCTCAATGTATTTTAGTCTACGTCCACGACCAGTGGTTTTTCCAGTAACTTTTTACACAGTTGAGTGTGTCACTAAAATAGTGTGCGCGTGTCACTCTATGACACGCGTGTCATAGGTTCGCCATCTCTGCTATAGGTGGTAAACACGGTCGACTGGCCCCATCGCATGTTAGTTCATACTAGAAAAAAATTAAAAATTAAAATATTCTTGTATTTACTATTTTTTACATATAATTTTATTTCCATGTACCTATACAATAATTTGTTATCATAACGCTGTATATAATATTTACTATTTTTGTACATAATAATTTTATTTCATGTACCTATATGGCTATATATAATAAATTTTCATCATAACCTTGTATAATATTACCTGTGTATAATCTGTAGATAAAAACGTTTCTGAGCGAAGACGGTCAGTTAGTCTATTATATTACTGAGTGTATTTGATGATCTTATTGTGAAAAAAGTAATTTATATAATATAACCTATTTACGTGGAACCTTGTTTTAAATTTTCAATCTTTAGCTATACAAGTTGAACATTTTATACATTTTTAACTACGAAATAATTATTAAATTTTAAATTTGATACATTTTGTCAAATTTCGAACTTTAAAAAAATTGTGCATATGAATTTTATATTTTTCTACTGCTATTTAAGCAATATATCAGGAGCCATATTGTATTATGTGTTGACGCTTTCTGGTCGAACAAATAAAATGTTATTGATATTTATAGAAAAAAAAACTAAAAATATTGAAATTTGAAATTGTCCGTAAACAGCTCAAAAAAAGTCAAAATATTTTTAAAATTGTATGGAGTATATAGGAATGGATAAAATAAACATAATATGTCATATAAATTTCAAATGTGTCTACAGTTATTCATTTTTGAATTACAACAAAATAAAAAAATCGGTACATGAGAAATCGAGTGTATTGTTTAGTCGTCCGAAATTTTAACCAGTTCGATTTATGGTGATTTTACGCTTATTTTGGCACATATAATCGATAAGAAGACGACCACACCATGCCGAAAACCCAAAGGTTTACCAGTTTAGCTACTCAGTGCCGGATTTCAATTTTATTTGTTGTCAATGATAACGCATAGTGAAAGGATATAATTATTCGAGTAATGCTCCGTTCACGTTATTTTTTAGGAATTCCATCACTTATAACGCATTTGTCACACCAAATTAAATTATTATAAAAAATTATATCCAAAATATATATTATTGTACCTACCTACGATGATTTTGGTTCGAGTTAAATTGAGTGCGAAATATGTGAACCAGACTTTTTGTTCGTTTCATTAAACATCCGAATTATACAATTCATATTCTAACCACTTCGGTTCCAATGAGTACGTTTTTCGATTTAAAATAACTACCTACTTACATTCTTTTTTTTTCACAATAAAAATTATAAACTTTATTATTATAAACGGATTTATACAGTAGAAACTACACTTAACTTTTTTACAATATCAGCCAATTTAAAAACTGATTGTATGCCAGCCCAAGTACACTAAACTCTTATTTGCTGCGCCATTTTCATAATGCATAATAGGTAATATAATATATATTTGAAGTGATGGAAAATCTTAAGCCATAGCTTTGTATTATTATGACTTGTACATTTAAATTAATTTATAAAATATTAAAATCATTTCTCAAATTTTAGCCGATTGACGATCCGAAATAAATTGAAAAAGACCACAGGTACGAAAACGTGCAATATTCTAAAACAGTAATATTATAAATGTTTATTTAAACAAGTAAATGTATCATCGATGCAGACAATTTAAAATAATATGTTTTTCAACGTCTTATATACGTTTATATTATTATATATTGTTATTTTACCTACCTATAATACAATATATCCAAATTTATTTCAAATTTTATTGTTATTTGTAATTGAATTGCTATCTCGTGACTTTAAGAATCATGTACCTATAACGACGAAACAATTTCTGGAGTGATTTTGGGGAGGGGAGGGGGGTTGATCCCCAACAATCTTGCCGTATATACGTGCCTCGGTAAAGAGTACATTCGACTAATTGTTATATATTATGCCTAATAGTATTTAAACATTATTATATAATAACATTTGACGATTAAAACGTAAACAAAACGTGAGGATAATCAAGTCTATGTCGGAGGATTTAATCCCTTACTTTGGAATTGTAATATCTGTTGAAGGAAATGAAATACCATGGGAAAACTGCGTTGATATCTGTACCGATGGAGCAAAGGTTATGAGTGGTACAATGTAGAAATGGGAAATGTGGAAATGTACAGCGTATTAAAATATTTCCAAAAACTGTTCTAGTAGCCACTGTATGATACATGGACAGGCACTTGCTGAAAAGTTATCTATTAGTTTTAAGAAAGCTCTTGATGAAGTCGTAAAAATCATAACTCGGCCTCTTCAAAATCGTTTATTCAAAATCGTATGTGAGGGCATGGGAAGTGTACATACTTCTCTTCTCTTACATACCAAGGTCAGGTGGTTATCTCGAGGAAAGATACTAACTCGTATTTTTGAATTAAGGGTCGAGGTACGTGCCTTTTTTTGGAACACAATTTCGAATTAAAAGATCGATTTCTTGATCAAAAGTGGCTACTTAAAGTCACCTATTTAAGTGATATTTTTACAAAGATCAATGAGCTTAATTTCACACTTCAAGGCAGACAAGTAAATGTATTTACTGCACACGAAAAAATTCATACTTTTAAGAAAAAGTTAGATTTTTGGAAAATTTGTATGAGCTCCAACGAGTTTGATTACTTTCCAACAATTAAATGCTTTTTGGAATAAATGAGGTTTTCATTGAGGAAATTATTCAGCCCCTCACTGGATTGAGTGAAGGATTCAACCAGTATTTTCCAAATGACCAACAGGTGAAATATAAAAATGGATTGTGGATTATAAATCCATTAAAAATCCATTTATTGTCAATACACGACCTCCAGCCATGTCAGTAAAAGAATATGAAACCTTTATTGAATTGACATCTGATTCATCACTGCAAGAAAAATTTAAATCAATGCCAAAATCAATTTTGGTGCAGTTCAAAAGATGAATATCCTCAATTGTCACAAAAGGCCGTGTTGGCACTTTTACCATTTGCAACAACTTATATGTGTGAAACGGGGTTCTCCACCTATGTATCGACAACAACAAAATACCCCAACAGACTTGATGCTGAACCTAATATGTTCATACAACTTCCATCAATAAAGCCCAATATTAAGAATATTTGTAATGATAAAAAGCAATTTCACGCATCTCATTAAGTAATTATTATTAAAGTAATATTATATACAATTATTATTATTTTTATTATTTTTTTTAACATATTTTTTAATTAAATATCTGTAACACAATATTAGTATATGAAATAATTGTATTTTTTTTTTGCAAATAATCCTAAAAAATATCTTAAAAGCTAAAAAACAAAGTAGAAGTTCCACGATAAAAGTGGACATCAAAAAGGGTTCCACGGATAAAAAAGTTTAAGAAACTCTGAATTAGTCTGTTAATTGTTCTTAATAAATTGCTTAAACGAATATTGTAGGTGGAGTACCAGAATTCAATACCAAAATTTAAGATTGATTGAACTAATGATAAATATATAATGTGTTTGTGTTGTATCCTACATATGTATCTAATATCCTTTAGGATATATTAGAATTTTCTTATAGTCTTTGTTAATAAATTTATTGTCATATATAACCCAAGATATTTTATGTTATCTACTTCTTCTAATAAGTAACAATTCAATTTAATTTGAGGAATTACAAGATGATGAATAAATATTTTTTTTCTCATGTATAATATGGTTAGTATTATTAATTCTGAAACGCATATATTTAGTTTTATTTAGATATAGTTCTAATAAATTTATATTGAACCATGATTTAACATTAGTTATTATATTATATTATCATATTTTTCAAAGTAACTTACCATACTCTTTCGATAATCTTATATAGTATATACAGTTAAATTAGCTATAACATTTAAATTATTAATTATTAATATCTAGTGCTATACTATTGAACTTTAATTTTTCTATAACAAAATATGTAAATTTTTTATTTGTTATAATCATATTACCTATTCTGTATTAGGTATCTACCTACCCACATTTAAACTATTGTCTATATAAACTGAATTGTACTGTTTATATCTAATTATATGTTATATTATGTTTGTATAATTCTTAAATTAAAAATTCCTAAATGTTTATCAAATCTTGCAAATTTTAATTTATTATTTTTACATTTCAAAGTTTTTCATGTAAACAATGTAACATTTTATAAGTGCCTTGAAGATAACTGTTTAAGGTCTTTTAGTAGCTTAAATTCATTTAAAAATCATGTAAAATGTCATATTAACAGTTTTCCAATTTGGTGCGAATTGTTAGCGCGTGACATTAACGACGGACCGGAGCGTGATAACATAATACTACATAAAAAGCGTAATTGAGCGTCGAACTGCCGAACCGCTACCTGGCGGGACCCGTGTAAAGTGTCATCCGACGTCGGTAAACAAAATGGTAGTGGGACGGAAAAACGACCGGATAGCAAACGTAAAACTTTGTCCTGAAACATCTGTTCACATTTCCCTTCATTTGAAAACCTCCAATGAAAAACGCTGCGCTCATTATCAAGATACCGGCTAGCTCATATTCGAGGACACCGTTAAGGTCATTCAGGGGTCAGGGGTCAACCAAGATGTCTTCTGAGCCACGGTCACAGGGATGAGAAAACTAAATGGGGCTATGTCGTCGTGGACCTGGACAAAAGTCGCAAGTCCAGAGAGGCACCACTCCCTTGAAGAAGCTCTCATTGAAAAGATAGCTGGTGCCCTAGTAGACCATGGAGGACATCCTTGAAGCACTAAAAAGCGCTTTCCTATTATCAAGCAAAGGCGACACGCTAGTAGAGGTTGCAGTCAATGAGATCAAGGTTACCTCCATGTGAAGGTTGAAGAACGGACAGCAGGTAGCAAGGTTTGCGTGCCCAGGGATGCAAAACCAACAGAGGTTAGCAGAGTTCGGGTAGGATAGACGAGCTGTAGGCTTAGAATTCGCCATCCTGAAGCCACCAGGTGTTTCAAGTGCCATGGTTTCGGTCACTTCCAGGGGAGCTGCTCGGGGTCGGACTTGAAAGATTTCTATCGTAGACGCGGGTCGAAAGACCACGAGGAAAAGGATTGTTCCGAAACAACTAAGTACGTACCCTGCGACCGTGAGGGGTACAAGTCAGGGCCGCACAGACCTGGCACTGCTGCCTGCAAGGCCAGGTGCGCTTCCTAGTCCTGGCGCTTCAGCAACCGTTGCAGTGATTAACTTTTTACAGGCTATTCTGAACGGATGCTGGCCGTTCAACAGCTCCTAGACCAAGTGGCTACTTAGAAAAACGTCGATGTCTTCATCCTGAGTGAGCCGTACGCAAGGGGACAATTCGGGGGAAGTATGTGCCACAGTCTTGACCAAAAGCCTCCATAGGCACCACCTCTGGAACCGGTTTGTCCACGACGACTCTGGGTCCGAAAACGGCTTCGTGTGGATTAAACTGAACGATATCGTCGTATTTAGCTGCTACTGGGAAACGCTTAAGGCCTAGCCGTTCAGGTTCAGCGCATGCAACCGTAATAGCGCTGATCTGCGACACGCAATGTACTAACGCTTGCATGGTTTTCCAATACACGGTTCGATCGCTCATGTGTGCTAGCGCAGTAACTAACATGACAGTCGGTGCCCGGTGGGAAGGTGGTTGGGGGTTGGTAGACGCGCACATAACTTTGACGGGTTGCGCATCGTCGCCGTCGCTACTACAGCGCTTTCTAGCAGACACATGCAGTAACAAATGGTGTCTCCTCGAACAATCCTTACAACATGGTTTTGCTCTACTTTTCGGAACCCAATGCTTAGTACTAAAGCAATCAAAACACATTTTCCTTTCCCGCATCCACCGGACACGTTCCTCAACATCCCATGTTTTGAAACGCATACACGATGTGAACTCATGGGATCTAGTCCAGCATGGGCATGTACTATCTGATTTGGACGTTAACAGTGATGTCAATCGGGAGCCATGCGTATTTCTGGAGTGGTCCCCCCCTTTGCGGAACGAACCATTCGCATTACTAACCTTGGATGACACTGCGGGATCATCCTTGTTAGGGAACTCACCAACAACCTCTAATATTGCCATTTGCCACAGTAACCCGCACTAACTCTAATAGTTGGATAATCGGCTGAACTACTCGCTTCGAATAATTTGCGGGTCAACACCGGTAAACATCTGAACTCGATTTAGAATTAAATAAATGATCCCAAATCAGGAACCTTAAGCAAGTCTAGTAATAAATTACCCTCATTGAACGTACCAACAGATTTGTTAAGATCACGGAGCAATTTCTGTGATATAGTCCATGTATGTAACAACTTTTCGACGAGCGACGTTGCTACTAAGCGCGGCCGATTAAAACAGTCCGACAACGTGGACCATACCAAAATTAATCCTCGGAAATTGGTATTCCTTGCACCACCTCAACGGCAACCACTTTTAAACGACATATCAAGTAGTCAATTTTATCAATGTCAGATAATTTAAGTCGCTTATCTACCACCTCCGTAAATATTTCTCGAAAGGTGGACCAAAATTGTTAATCACCATTGAAAGTAGGTAAGGGAATTTCTGGTGAAGTGTGGTCCACCGTCGAATGATGTAAAACCGTAGGTGTTGGCATCAAATAAAATAACACACAGTTTGCTTATAAATAAGATTACCGATTTATTGTATTGAAACTAAAGAATTAATGTATATAATGATAAAACTATTACTGATTTATTAAATTAAATATTGAAGAATTAATATGTATAATAAAAAACACTGCTATTATGAGAGGTTCTGATAAAAACTATAGAGGCTCTGTAATAAACTATAAAGGATGCTCTGCTTAGTAACACGGGTGTTACTCACTCTTTTGACCAGACTCTACTGCCTCTAGCTGGCGGGGCTGTGCCCATGGCCTGTCCCGAGCCTTTCAGAATGTGCTCACTCAGCCCTTTTGGTCACGTAGGCCGCTGTGGGAACCGAACGGTTCTCATACACGCACCACTCGATACTTGACTGAGTCAACACATTCGTACATATCATGTTAACCGTTTACAGCATACCCCCAGCGTTAAACTGGAGCAGTCCCTGCGACTCCATTTTCTACTGTTACTGTTACAATTCCTTAAACTACGATTACAATTCCTTAGACTATGATTACAATTCCTTAAACTACGGGTACACCAGTTGCAATACCTCCACATGGTGTCTGTAATGCTTAAACTACTAAATTTACTCTATACTTAAGGTGATACATTTTCTTTTTTTTTTTATATATAAACTTAAGGGTTGATTTGATCCTCACTTGAATTATTATCTGCTACTTCCGGACAATACATTTTTATGAATTTAGTTCTGAACTTAATTACCAATATACCTGTACTTAATAGTTAATACCATAAAAACTATGCATATGTATATGATTGCGATATGGAATTCTATCTTAAATATGAATAATGTTTTCACGGGTTTATGTTCGAGTACACTTGGCTCTCCCGCTTCATGTACTAGGAAATTTAGGTCATTAAACAGTTTTACATTTGTGAGACTCTTAGGTAGAAACGAATTATGAATTTCTGTTAACATAGATATAATATTAAATTTACGATTAACTGGAATTATGTCTAAGCTTACATCTCTATTGGATTTACTATTTGTTACAAGAATTGAATTTCCCGTATGTATTTCACATGACGGCGAGGGGGTCAATCTACCCACACCCGATATCTCAACTCTAAACGTTTGTGGAGGGTCTGAACACTTAATCATACTTAGGTCTGGTTGAGTAAAGTACAACCAAGCGTTTGTTTTTGTTAACCGATGCCAAACAGGTGCATTCAGTGTCACTAAATTGACTCTACAGTCTTTTAAGGGACTCTGCAAGTTGGATATACGTGATAAGACGCATAAGTTGGATCCCGCTTGGTATCTGATCGGTTGATCACCCTTACAAAGAGTATAAGGTTCTAGCTTATTGCATGATTCCCATTGGTTTGTCTCCAACAAGAAAAATTTTTCATTGTCGTTACTTAAAGCTAGGTAGTCGACTTCAGGGGAAATTAAGGCTATGGTATTACTATCGTATTGAATAGGTAGAGGGATAGGGTGGTACATGGTGTACTCATCTACAGATATTAAGGGTATTCCTAATGAGAATACCAAATAGTGCTCCCTATGGAAGATGGTGAGGTCTGAAATTTGAATAAGTTGGGTCAGAGATTCTGCTTTTATTTCAAACGGAAAAGTTGTTCCCCCCGGTAAGTTCATTTTTATTTCCCCCATTTCCATGAGAAGCTGCTCCGATGAGAATACACTTGTATGAATCTTGCCATTTATAGCTGAGTTAACTATAGACATTAGGTTCAGAGTTTCGTAAGAATACTGGTTAAGCATGACTTCAAATAGGAATGCCTGTTCCAATAGCCTCGTCTTGAATTCTAGTTTATTGAGTGTCTGTATGAGTCCTTCCGTTTGGTTTTGTAGATAGATTTTCCTCGAGTTTTTGCTGGTGTAGTAAGAGTTTCTTTGTTTGCCGATCCGGCTCCACTTGCGTGATTCTTGTCCTTTCCGGAATAAAGGTGATGCTTTGTTTTCTGCTCTGGCTTAGTTCATTTATTTTATTAAATACAAATTCCATGTCAATCTCCGAGAACATGCCATATAGAACATTTGCCATCTTCTTAGCTACGTTAATTAACCCTCGTCGTCAGGCGCGTACACAAAAAAAATTTTGGGGGCGGTTTTGCTTGTACATTTTCGTACTTATATAATCTAACTTAACCTATAACTGTTAGGTTAGGATAAATAAAAGCAAAAGCACGTTTGGTTTATAAAGATTGTCAGGACTTTATTATGGTAAAACAGAATATATATAGACATACACAGAAAGAGTAATTAATTATTATTGTTGAAATATACAATTAATATAGTAGTATATGTAGTCAGCCTTGACACGTGTGTATGATTTAGTAACTAGTTATGTACGAGCATAAGACTCACTCTCTTTACGGATGTAACATGACCTCGGTCGTGCATATATATAGGGCCTTTGATGTATGTAATATTCACTTGCACAGGCGTCGTTGTACAGAGCGTATACGATGTGTGTGTACTGTCACAGTTTAATTGTCCAGTTGTACGTTAATATATATTATACTTATACATAGTCATATTGTCTTGTTATTACTTATTATATTAATGCTAACATCATTAGTCCGTCAAGCTTCACTTTCAACAGGTTATGGGCCCAGTCAATAACCAAGACATACAGTCTAGTGGATTCGTGATCGAAGTATTTTTATATTTGTATTAACGCAGAAAACTACAACCAGTCGGAGATATCCTGGATTTCGGAAAACGGCGGAACAGTGTACATAGGTAAAGTTTTGTTATAAATTGTTATATAGGAAAGTATACGGGAAACCATCGGTCATGGAAGACACGGGGAAGATAACAAAATTATGTGCGGAAAACTGGTCGTTATGGAAGTTCCAGATGAAGGTCATTCTAAATGCCTTGGAAGTAGGTGAGATAGTTTCAGGTGAATGGACGAAACCAAGTCTACCTATAAAAAAGTCGGCAACAGAGTCCGACGAGGATGCCAAAGCACGTTGGCAAAGGCATACAAACGCTCGGCAAAAAGCGGACGGTAAATGTCAGAAAATAATAGTTACCTCAGTGGACGATGGTCCATTACAATATTTGATTAACTGTGAGACTGCATTGGAAATGTGGGAGAAACTGCTGAGTATTTACGAGCAGAAGTCTGAGGCAAGTTTACATTTGCTTCAACAACAATTTTTCAGTTATTCAAAGGAGTCGACAGATGACATGTCGACGCATATTTCTAAATTGGTCAATTTAGGAAGGAAACTGAGAGTAGCGGGTGAACCAGTTACGGATAACATGGTTATGACAAAAATACTAATGACATTACCAAAAGAGTATAATCATTTTTACAGTGCTTGGGATTCAGTCCCAACGGGAAGTAAAAATATAAATAATTTGACTAGTCGATTGGTGATTGAAGAATCACGGGTTATCCAGATCAAAGGTGAAGTTGGTGAACAAGAGAAATCGAGTGCATTTCCGGCCAAATTTCAAAACAGATCTGATGGAAGAAACGGCAGTCGTAATTATGGAAAAGGTAAAAATCAATTTACTAATAAAAGTAATATTAAGTGTTATTACTGTGGTAAACTAGGTCATTATAAAAGAGACTGTAGAAATTTTCTACATAGTGTACACGGTGGTAAAACCGGTACTATAGGTGCGAACTTGAACGCATTCGTAAGCGAGTCAAGAATAAATAATATTGCAACAGATGCGTGGGTACTAGACTCGGGCGCTTCGGATCATATGAGCGCAAATCGAGAGTGGTTTTCAAGTTATGAACCACTGGACAACACGCAACAAATCACGATAGGTGATGGGACAAATCTGTATGCAGCAGGTAGAGGTAATATTAATATATTATCATACGTAAACGGTAATTGGAATAAAAATTACATGGCAAACGTGTTGCACGTACCGGGACTAAAATTTAATTTATTATCGTGCGGTGCCGCGATGGATAAAGGATTAGTAATGACGTCAGATAGTAAGACGTGTATGTTAACTAAACAGGGGAAACCCGTATGCTCAGGTAAGAGATGCGGAAGGTTGTTTGAGTTAAACATCAAGGTCGAAGTACCGACAAACGGGTACTCGACTGTAGCTGTCGAAAACAGGTTGTCTGTTTGGCACGAGCGCATGGCACATCAGAATTTACAGTACGTAAAAAGTTGTTTGGCGAAACACGAAATAGTATGTTCGGCCAAGGACGACGAATTCGTGTGCAGCAGTTGTATAATAGGTAAACAAAGTCGTAAATCATTTAGTAAAAGTAATACGGAGTATCACAATGTCGGTGATTTAATCCATGCAGATCTATGTGGACCAATGGAGGTAAGCTCTATAGGCGGTTCAAAATACTTCTTGTTATTCAAAGACGACTACTCGCATTATAGAACGGTATATTTTATTAAAAATAAATATGATGTTAAAAATATTTTTGAGACGTTCATAAAAAGTGTTGAAACAGAAACAGGTTCTAAGGTCAAAATATTATGAACGGATAATGGATTAGAATTCGTAAATAAAGAAATTACGGGTATTTTACAAAAACACGGGATTCAACATCAGTTAACAGTTCCCTACACACCACAGCAAAATGGAAAAGTGGAACGGGAAAATCGTACAATAGTAGAGTCAGCGAGGACAATGATTTGTGCGAAAAATTTGGATGTATCACTTTGGGCGGAGGCGGTAAACACGGCTGTTTACACGCTTAATCGAACAGGAACCAGTTCAGTTAAAAATAACTTACCATACGAATTATATTATAAGGTAATGCCAGACATTAAACACTTACGAGTTTTTGGTACTTTCGTATATACACACATACCAAAACAAAAACGTAAAAAGTGGGACCCTAAAAGTGAAAAAGGAATATTTGTTGGCTACTCGGATAATACCAAAGGTTATCATGTGTATTATTCAAAAACAAATAAAATTTCAATGTCTAGAGATATTATATTCGAAAACGAAGGTAATAAATTGGAAAATATAATTGCAGACAAATTAGAATTCACAGATACTCAGACTCAAATCGAGGACGATCCGGTCAAGGTCGAATTGACGACGGTCGACAACAGGAGTGGCATGGTGCTACGTGATCGGAATACATTAAAAGCGCCGATCAGGTATAATGTGTCGTCGTTCGTCGCCAATCTCGTTGAACCACTAAATCGTGATGAAGCGATAGCTGGCCCACAGAAAAACGAGTGGGAGCACGCTATAAGTGATGAAATTACGTCACTACACAAAAACAACACTTGGTCACTAGTTAATTTGCCTCAGGGCAAGGTTGCGTTACGTAACGCATGGGTGTTCAAAACCAAATATAAAAGTGACGGTAATATCGATAAGTTTAAGGCCAGATTGGTCATTAAAGGTTGTTCACAGAAATACGGTATAGATTACCATGAAACATTTTCGCCAGTGGTCAGATACGAATCAATTAGGGTGATATTCGCAGTAGCAGCTGTGGAAAAGTTAATATTACGACAATTCGACATCAAGACAGCATTTCTGTACGGAGAACTACAGGAAGAAATTTACATGGTACAACCACCAGGATACGAAGATGGATCGAATAAAGTATGTAAGCTTCAGCGTAGTTTATATGGCTTAAAACAAAGTCCAAGATGTTGGAATATACGCTTTAAGAATTTTTTGAATGCATTTGGTTTACAATGTACCGAAGCGGATGCATGTGTATTCAATGCATATAATAGTAGAATTATTCTGGCAATATTTGTAGACGATGGTTTAATCGCTGCAGACAATGAAGAAATAATAAATAAACTTTTAACAAACTTGGAGAAAGAATTTGAGGTTAAAAAAGGAAACTTAGATTATTTCCTAGGTATGCAGGTAAATATAATGAAAAATGGTTCATTATTTGTGCATCAGACAAATTATGCATGTAGCATAATTAATAAATTTAATATGCTGGACGCCAAGGAACTTTCAATACCAATAGACAAATCACATACACTTGAACAAAAAGAAGATACGGAAATATTGAATGAAGATATTCCTTATAGGCAGGCAGTAGGTAGCTTACTGTTCTTATCACAGGTAACAAGACCAGATATAGCATATGCAGTAAACTTTGTTAGTCGTTACTTAGCAAAACCAACTAAAGCTCATTGGAACTTGGTGAAACGGATTATACGATATATCAAGCGAACATTTAATTATGGCGTGTACTTTAATAACAAAACAAAATTGTCATTAGAAATATTTAGCGATGCAGATTACGCAGGTGACATTCAGACACGACGTTCAACGTCAGGATTTCTATTCAGGTACGGGTCAAGCATAATTTCATGGACATCGCAGAGACAACATAGTGTGTCATTGTCATCGACAGAGGCTGAATATATTTCGGCCAGTGAAGCTGTCAAAGGGATCTTGTGGATTACACGGTTGATAACAAGCTTATCAAAAACAGGTGACAAACAACCAGTTTTATTTATAGATAATCAGAGTGCTATTCGTTTAGTGAAAAATCCGGAGTTTCATAAGCGGACAAAACATATAGACGTACGGTACCACTTCATACGGGAGAAATACGAAGAGGGACAATTCCAACTACAGTACATTGGAACAGAGGACCAGATTGCGGACATTCTAACCAAGCTTTTGGTTAAGGAACGATTCGAGAAGTTGCGGTCAGCCATAGGAGTGACTACAATTAAAGAGATTATTAATTGAGGGAGGGTGTTGAAATATACAATTAATATAGTAGTATATGTAGTCAGCCTTGACACGTGTGTATAATTTAGTAACTAGTTATGTACGAACATAAGACTCACTCTCTTTACGGATGTAACATGACCTCGGTCGTGCATATATATAGGGCCTTTGATGTATGTAATATTCACTTGCACAGGCGTCGTTGTACAGAGCGTATACGATGTGTGTGTACTGTCACAGTTTAATTGTCCAGTTGTACGTTATTATATATTATACTTATACGTAGTCATATTGTCTTGTTATTACTTATTATATTAATGTTATCATCATTAGTCCGTCAAGCTTCACTTTCAACAATTATGCTTAACACACTGCTAATAGAAACGTCGATCACACGTCGATCGCGTCGTTTTCAGTGTCGATAACGTCAACTAGGAGAAACGGCGGAGCTGGTAGATCGGAACGTCGATCAAACAAGACTGTCGCGCGTCTCCAGCGCCGTAACGGTGGAGGCGCGTGACCCCAGTGTGGCACGACTTACAAAATTAAATTGCCCTTATAATAATAATATCGCTATCATAACCTAACAAGGAGTTAACACAATTTCAATTATAGTACTATTTATTTCTCATAAAAAACGTAATTTAAAAAAAAAAATGTAATAATTGTTAAAAACATGTATTTTTATAATATAAAATCTAATTTTCGAGGTAGTTTGCAAATCTGTTAATGACTTCGTCAATATCAATGTTATAATTTCTATAAATATTCGTGAGCGCTAATCCTGTCAGTCGGTATTGTCCAATATTATTTCTCAAATAGGTTTTCAGTCTCCGCAGTCCGCAATGTTGAAAATGAACGCTCTGCAGTAACAGTCGTTACAGGCAAAGTAGCTAATATTGTTAAAAGGCACTTTATATTCGGATAGAAATCACTGTTAATTTGACTTAAGGTAGTTAATGAACATTTTGGGAGATCATCATCAGATACATTTTGCCACTGTGTTTGCCAGATTTTAATCTCAGTATCAAACGTATCAAAATTAGGTATTAATGGTTTATAAAACAGTGCACATTCCTTAAGTTTGTTTAAATATGTAGTATTTTGAGTCATGTACTTAGGAATTAATGATTGTAAAGTGGACATTACGCGATGATGTTTGGAAAACCTGTCTTCTAGCTGAAGAATAAAATGATCCAATAATGGCAAAAAAATAGTACGTTTATAGTATTGTTCTGGTGAATCGGCTGGCGTGTTATCTCGACAAGTTTGCCGACCTGCTGTTTTCGACAATATAATAGACTTAATATCACCTTCAAGCATGGCTTTTTCGTAATCAGAAAAAATATTTTTAAAACTCATCTGAGTTACTCCTCTTTTCAATTAAAATTGTACGTACGTCACCAACTCGTTCATAACAATAAGATAAATCGATATGGACTTTTTGTATGCTATACATAGGGGTAAGGTTAGAGAAAATATGTTTTTAATCACGTGTAAAGAAACTACAAAATTCGAAGTGCTAATGGCAATAGATAATTGAAATGCAGCTTTTGATGTTTCAATATTAGAATTACTCTCCATGGTAAATGCTCAAATACAACTCTTTGAATCGAGTTATACTTTCGTGACGTTCAATCCAGCGAGTTTCACACATTCGTATTAAAGTCAACTGGCGACTTTTAGAAACATATTTTTTAATATTTTCAATTAAAATACATGATCTCTGTGAAGAAGCTCGAAAAAATGTAGTGACTGAGGAAACCGTTCCGATACAATTTCTTTGATTGTAGATAAAGATCGAACACTAAACGAGAATGTAATTCATATTACGAATAGGCAATGCGGGAAATTAAATAAAACCAAACTAACAAATAATAAAACTTATTTCCTGACATTTCGGGGGGGGGGGGTTGAACCCCTAGAACCCCCCCTTGTATACGCGCCTGCTCGTCGTACTCTCCCCTTTTCCATGCTATCCTCTCCCATAGTCAACTGCATATTCCGGTTACTGGACTCAATTTCATACAGGTGAGGCAGTGTCGCTTTTCTAAATAGTTGCACAAATTGCTCACATGTATCCGATATTTCTACACTTCCGAATCGTTTCGTCATCCGATCACATACTTCCACTATGGCCTCGTACTGCGATCTGATTACTGAATATTGAGAACCTGAAGTAGTAAGGTCAACGAATACCACCAAATCCCAATTGATATGTGACAACTTCACTGCACCATGGTGTTCAAAATATTACCCCTGATGATCCAGCAGCGTCGTGATGTTATAAGCGTTAGTGTCTGCCTCTAATTGCAGTTTCGTTTTATAGTTTACTTGCCCTGTGGTAAGCAAACTGTATTGAATCAGAATCCTGGAACGAGATTTAGTTATGTTAAAAGAAGATTTCTCTTCACTGCAGGAATTTATATACAGCATCTTGTTTCTTACGTCTACGTTAGTATTTACAATTGTTAGCTTAATCGTTTAATTTTATTGCGTATATTTACAATGATTAGTCCACAAAAGTACGGATGAGATTTGTGTACCGCCACCCTCCTTCTATCCTTTTGTAACGTTACGTTTTCATTGGCCTTAATCTCGATCACCTCATAAGGTCCCAACCATTTAGGACTAAGTTTCCCTTTTCGTGCGTTGTCTTTGAGTAGCACGCGATCTCCCACATGAACGATGATCTGATTCTGCCTTTGATTGTAGGTTTCCTTTGTCTTTCGTTTCTGTTCTAACAGACGATCTCTGGCTATTTGATGTGCCACTTGGAGTTTCTGCTTCAATTCCACATGAAAATCTTCGTAATTATACCGAGGTTCTGGAGGTTTTGTGAACGAGTTTGGCATTGTCATCGTGCGACCATACAACAGTTCATAGGGCTGTTTTCCTGTGGAACGATGTTCTAAGGAATTGAACACGAACATAGCATATTGGTATGAACGTATCCCAGTTCATTTGATCTTTGTCCAAAAAATGTCGTAGGTATTCCCCTAGGGTCCGATGACTCCTCTCCAGGGCTCAATTAGCCTGAGAATGGTATGGCGAGGTGTTGCATTTTTTTTATTTTCAGCAACTTGCATGTTTCCGCTAAGATCCTGCTTAGAAACTCCGTGCCTTGGTCACTAACCAACATGCTTGGTATTCCATGGAGATATACACATGATGTCCACAAAGTGATACGCCACAGTGTTGGCTTCATGATTTTCCATTGGACTGGCCATGGAGAATTTCGTGAGATCACACTGCATAGTTAAGATGTAGGCATTCTTGCTGTCTGTCTTTGGTAAGGGCCCAACCACATCAATAAATACCTTCTCGAAAGGTTCTGTAGCCGTGGTACTTATGACCATTGGTTGCCTGACGTTCTTGCTGCATGTCTTGTGTATCTGGCATGATGAACACTTAGACACATATTCCTTCTCATCATCTGCTAATTCCTCCCAGTTAAACTCCGCCTGGATAAGTTTTAACGTTTGGTTTATACCGCGGTGTCCTCTTAAGGGTTCCATGTCAAAATATCTCCGTAAAAATATCTCCGGTCAAAATATCTCAGACAAAATATCTCTAGTCAAAAATATCTCCGATTTAAAATATCTCCCATGAAAATATTTTATATTAATATTGATTTTTTTTATAACTACAATTATTAAAAGTAGATAAAAAACTGATGTCTAAAGTGATTATCGAAGTAAGTACATTTTCTATCAATAATATTTAGAAAATAATCCGAAAGGCAAAAATAACTAATCACAATATTACACTGTCACACTGACCAATTTGTATTACCTGATATATTTTTCATGGTTAAGAGTGCAATTACAAACCTTGATAAGCGATTTTATCGAGGTAACGACTGTATCGATGCGATAGTGTGTCAGTATAGACACACAGCTTGTATCGATTAACCTAGTTCAAGTTTCACTATTTAGATTTAAAAATGCCTCTACAATTTATTATAAATCAAAAAGGCAACAAATTATTATTGCATAATGGATATCTTCATATGTTCTATAAAGAAGGTGTGAACAAATTCATTTGGCGTTGTTCTAAATTACAAAATATACAAATGTACTTCATGCTATACAACCACTCGAGAAGAAATAGTTAATTATTATATTATTAATTATTAATGCCTGGATTTAGTTGTATCATTTACTAAAAATTAACCATATAATCTACACAATACAAAACGTTGACATTTATAATACATTTTAAATTTTATAACGTCTTAACATAAAACACAATATAATAAACATAAAACAAATTAATTTAAAAAGTACAATGATTATGATGAACGACTGTTTAAAATCGTAAGTCAATACAACGAAATTACACCAATGAATTATTTAAGGGAACTTGCCCACAATCTTAAATTTTAACATATATCTTGATCGGATTTTATATTATAAATACAGTCAATTATATTACAATAAAACATTTATTTTGTACTTGTAATAAATAATAATAATTACATATTATTTTAAAAATTACATATTATGATTACAATAACATATTTTTAAATACTAATGCACTTACTTTGGTAATCACTTTAGAAATCAGTTTTTTATCTGCTTTTAATAATTGTAGTTATAAAAAATTAATATTAATATAAAATATTATAAATATTAAAATGTTTTCATGGGAGATATTTTGTACTGGAGATATCTTAAATCGGAGATATTTTTGACTAGAGATATTTTGTATCGGAGAGATTTTGTAGGAGATATTTTGACCAGAGATATTTTTGCGGAGATATTTTGACCGGTCACCCCTCTTAAGAGGCTGGAATGATGTTCGGCAATGATTTCTTGTTTTTCTGCATGTTTTATCTCCATTAGAGAATAAACATGAATTTTTATGTCTGTTTAATTGAATACAAACCAGATTATGGTTCGGACGGCTAACCAATCCAGTTGGTCCATTCCGCTGCCAATGCGGGGCATTGATTGATATTTAGTTCAATGCACACAAATTTGAGGTTCTGTAAGGTCAGGAACATATCCTCAAAAGATGGTTTTTGCCAGTACTTTGGTTTCGTCACCATATACAGAACGTATGGATGCTGACTTTTTAATATCTCCACGTTTCCATATTTTCTGTGAAAAATAAGGGCCACGCCCTGGCTCATTTTTACGTCTTGTGATATGCAATGCGCGAGACTGTAGCCTACTGGTGCGTCAAATAAAGTTCGAAGTGGTCAAGGTCGCTGCAGACTCAATACAGCGCTCTGAATTTGCTGAACCGATCGTGCGCTGCTCAGATTCGGTTCCCCTCCGTTTCCCGCATTTTGTTGTTCTGTTGAAGCTTCTTTTCCACCCTGTTGCCTTTTACTATTTACATATTGTCTGTTTTGGCATACTTCTAATTCATGTCCTTCCTTTTTACAATATCTGCAAGGTCTCGATTTCTTTATACCTGATTGCCCGTAACGCTCTCCCGGACCATTTAACAGTCAGCCCACTTGGCTTGAATCATCTGTTGATACTGATGCTTGAGTACCGTCCATTTTCCTGTCAACTTGTGTTATTGTTGAGTTATGTAAATTTAATCTCGAGCCCAGATAACTTGAACTGACTTGCTGCCTTAGATTTTCAGAATCTCGGATTCTGAAACTATACGGATTTCCTGAAATGCCACGATGCTCTGGAAGTTCTGAGTATTTTTGATTTTCTGAAAGTTCTGAAGGTTGTTGATTTTCTGGATTCTCTGTGATTTGTTGATGCTCTGGAGTTTCTGTGTGTTGTTGTTTTCCTGGATGTTCTGAATGTTGGATTGGTTGAGGTTCTGTATGTGGCTTGGTCATTCGAATTCTTAGTAAAAACCTAGTTGACCCTAATAGTTCGCCCGTTCGGTCTATTGTATCCCTTGCCCTTCGTAGGACACCACTACTTGGTACATACAATACTCCACTAGACGGCCCACTACTAGAGCTGTCCAAATCTATTAAATCTACATCTGCACTAGCAAAAAGGCCCGATTATTAGATAAATTAAATAGACTGAAGCTAATTATTATTTTTTTTTTGAATGAAAATCCCAACAAAAGAATATTCCAATACATTAATAAATCCCACTAAATTAGGATTTTTTTTTCTTGTGATTTTCTGACACCAAAACCAGTTGAACCCAGACGGCGGTAGTTCACATAAGCTCTTTAGCGATCTCCAAAATTGCACTGTCGTAAAATGAATTGCTACAATTTTTCCTTTTTAGAGATCCCACCGCTGCCACCAATGAAGTGTGGTCCACCGTCGAATGATGTAAAACCGTAGGTGTTGGCATCAAATAAAATAACACACAGTTTGCTTATAAATAAGATTACCGATTTATTGTATTGAACACTAAAGAATTAATGTATATAATGATAAAACTATTACTGATTTATTAAATTAAATATTTAAGAATTAATATATATAATAAAAAACACTGTTATTATGAGAGATTCTGATAAAAACTATATGAGGCTCTGTAATAAACTATAAAGGATGCTCTGCTTAGTAACACGGGTGTTACTCACTCTTTTGACCAGACTCGACTGCCTCTAGCTGGCGGGGCTGTGCCCATGGCCTGTCCCGAGCCTTTCAGAATGTGCTCACTCAGCCCTTTTGGTCACGTAGGCCGCCGTGGGAACCGGACGGTTCTTTCGACA